AATTATAGTTATAAAAAGATTTTATGGTTTAAATACAAGTGTAAGACTCAAAAAACATTAGGAATGAAACACCACTTTCAATGCATCAGTGTGGATGAAGATCTTATTTTTGCATGAAGATTCCTTCAAGATTGAATTACTTCTTATATCCACTAGAGAGACACCAATGAACAAGACATCAGAAAGACCAGAGTCGACCACTTCAAGTTTATGTCTTCTGTATTTTTTTTCTTTTACATAAATGCAAAATAAGGGGAAAATAAGGAATACAGCAGAAGTTCCTTTTCGTTATTAACATGAAACAAGGGAAACTATTTCTACACAACTGACAAACTAGAAAACATTGATCACAATGAAGGGAGTTTTTATGTTTTACCTGGAATCCGATAAAGTGTCTCTACATCCTAATCCACATACTATTAAAATAGCTTTAAAGTTTAATCAATAAAGGTAATTGTTTGCACGCAATTCATTTCATAATTAAGTGATAATGCTGTAGAGGGTGTTTTACGGTGTTTTACGGTGTTTTACGGTGTTTTACGGTGTTTTACGTTGAGGAGGTAATTAAGAGTTTTGATACCTACCAACCTGTTTGAAAAACATATTTTAAACAAATGTCAAATCTCAAATTTTCATTCAGTTGTAACAGCCATTAAAAACCGGTTTGTTTGAATAGCCTACTCTACACTACAACATGTGAAATAACACTAACTAATTCTGTGACTAACTTGGAAATCTGAAGATTTTAAGTTCTGTTGTACTATCGAAAGATTAAAGCATCCTGTCTCTACACACGTCTGATTATATTGAAATTCCTAAAAGAATTGAACACATACAAAACACCAATAAGGCTACATCATGAGTGGCTTATCTGTAAAAACATTTGAAATATACAAGAAAAGAAATGTGAAACCAGTCACGTGAACAAATCTTTTTTACAGACATCGAGTTTCTTTAAGTTCAAACTAAGTAGTAAGTACGAAATGTTGGCCTCTAATTAATTCACCATCAGCTTTTTTTACACTACAAAAATAACATGATAAAGCCTCTTTGGAAAATACTTGAACACATAAGATCAGTGCAGCACCAGTTAATCTGATTACACTACGTAAGATATTTGAATTTGGTTGTGGATCAATTTAAAAGTATCATTGCAGCACATGAGATGAAAAGTGTCCCACTGGGAAGAATGTTTTTGTTAAAATGTCTTTCCTGACTGATGAAAGAGATGCAGTTATGATTCTGAATTTTATCATAATGCTCATCTCCACACTCCCACGTTTTCCCTTAATTTTTATACAGTATAAGCAAGATGATCTTCTATGACAAATTCAAAGCATGTAAATATTTATACCAGAGGATGTCACATGTAAGACAGGAAAACTAGATATAATAATAACAAACAGCTCAAAGGGATCCTGAGGTTAAAACCCGTCTTTTTTATTCCTAGTGGTATTTCCCTGTGTTGGTGTTTTGTTGCTGTTCATACCCCTCTCCTGTAGAGGTCGCTACTGTCTGATGTCTGCTGGTCTGAGCTGCCTCTCGCCCTCAGCCAGGAAGATCTGCATGGCCCGGGAGAGCATATGGACGCCCAGCTCCCTTTTACGCTTCACCTGCCAGTTGGACACCACGCCATAAAAATCGCCTCGCTTCTGATTGGTGAGCATCTTCAGACCTGTGATGTGATTGGAGAATTGATTAGTTATTGACAGGCTGGTCCAGCGCCAGATCAATATTGATGCTAGAACAACCAATGAGTTACACTGCCTCAGGAAAATATATATAACAGCGATGGCCTATACATCAATTGACAATAAACCTGTTAGAATAAAAGTGCAGTTTATAGAAATCAACATCTAATAGATAGAAAAATCTAAATGTATGTGCGTCTTGTGATTATGTCACAAAAGATCCAATGAAATTAACACTAACTGTGAATTATCTACAGAGCATTGTATCGCATATGGTAAAAGATAAATGAACTGTACTAACAATGCTCTTATCCACCACTCGAGGCTCTTAACACTACAACCTACATTCACCCATTCACATTCACACAGTGCTTCTATATGCTGACACCATGCTGTTTCTATCACACAACATTCACTGTCAGCACAGTCAATTTGGCGTTCAATGCCTTGCCCAAGGACACTTTGGCAAGCAACTCAATGAGGAGCTGGGGATCAAACCAGTGAAGTACTCACCGATGGCCTCCACCATGCAGGCCTCTCTTGTGTAAGCCTCCACTGGAATAACGTTCTGAAAACAATGCAGAGAGACGACGCCCTGCCCGGCGTCCCACACCTGGAGGATGTGCTGCACTTTGGGGCACAGTTTCTGTCACAGAGAAGAAAAGGTTTATGTTTGATCTATTTCATATCTCATTTATTTTAACTCGCAGTTTGTGACCAGTGTCCTACCTTGCAGGTCTTGTCCCCTCTGTAGTACTCTAAAGCCTCATACAGGTGGCTGTAAGGCCGGGAGCGTTTCCCCTTCCCCACATAAAATATGGCGTTGACAAAAGCCTGGAAACACTCCTGTGGAGTCAAGGTGTGACTGCGGAACGGGAGGTTTTTCGTCACTCTGACGGAGAAGAAACACAAAGATCCATTTAATTATGTTTATTCAGTAATCACAAGGCTGCGTGTGGTAAAGACTCAATGCGAACAAGACGGCTCTAAAGGTACAAAGTGGAAACTGAACACTGATTTCTGAACATTGAAGAAACCTTTAACGCAAACTAGTTGTGCGTCTATGTACTGTTGATTTGATTCTACAGATTTTTCAAGCTATATGAGTTTTAGTTTGGTTTTCATCTAATTTAGAAAAGCGCACATTTGTATAAGTGAGTTCAAACATGCATCACTGCTGAGGCACTGCTCAGCAGTTTTCTTGATTTTTGAACAGACAAACATTGTGAATATTGTATTTAACCTCGACTAAATTAAATAGGTGTCTTAGCCTCCCGTGCACGTGCGGACAGTGGATGCATAAAAACAAAATGACACCATTTCATGGCTGTCACCTTGGATCGAGCAGCAGGTAGTTGAAGCTGGACTTGATGATGCCCTCCCTCCACTTCCTGTTTTGATCTGGTTGATCAAACTGGTGGCATAAATCCTGCTCGTCAGTCTGACAATCTGGCAGCTGGAAGGTCTGCAGGGCCCGACACAACTCTGGACTATAACCGAAACCAACTGGGGGAAAAAAAAGCATATGAAAATGAGTGTGGCTGTGGAAGTCACTGTGCTTATAAGACAAATGATTGCAGTAAATGTAATAATATTTCTCTCTCACTCACTCACTCAGTGGCTGTGATCTAGTCCACCCACAACTCAGCTCAACGAGTAATGAGTTTAATTTTCCTTTCTCATGCTTCTACAAGCAATTTTAATGAACAACTTAATATTTCACTACTTCACAGGACAAACATTTTTAAATGATAATATTCATAGAGCCTGACAGATTTTTGGGGCCAATGGCGATACTGACATTTGGAAATAAGAAATTGCTGATACGATTTATCAGACCATAAAACACAAACAGAACCAAATATATTATATAATAACTTGAACTAACTTAACAAATACAATTTAAAGTTATACTGACACAAATCGGCAAACACAAACTGCTCATATACTATTAATACCTAAAAGTAGCTTAACATAAATAAGTAGTGATCAATAACTAAAAAAGCCTCACCAGTTTGCGGCTGGTCCGACTGCTTCTGGTGATGCGGTGATTGGGACTCCTGCAACAGACGGAGCAGCCTTCGCATGTAGGTGGGCCTGGTGCGGCTGCTGATGGGACCCGGACTCTCCCCCAGTTCGACGAGCCTCAGTCTCAGATCCCGGTCCGTTATCCCTTTAGTGTCTGGCAAGAAATTACTCCTCCCCTCATCGTGTTTCTCTTTCTTTATCACAATCTGAGGCTTCTGATTCTCCTTGCCTCCGCTGGTCATCAATTCCGTCTGCATGGAGCGCCAGTCATAAAGGATGGTCTCCTCGCTGCTGCTGGTGGTGGTGGTACTTATGCTGGAGCTGAGCGAGGTGTTCGCAGTCGGCGGGACGTGGGTCTCGATCAACTTGTGGCCCTGTTCTGTATCAGTGTACAGGTACTCCACCGCTTCATCCAGATCCTGAATGAGCGGACGCCCTCCGGGTGTGTAAGACAGGTTTGCCAGGTGCTGTGGTCTGTGACAGTTCGACAGTCTGCTCATGCTGTACCTCGGGGTGCATCCTGTGCCTGGGGTGCTCGCCGGGTCAGAGTCTTCCCTGGACCTCCTGGGGGAAAAGTAACTTGAGCTGGATGAAGATGACACAGAGCCTGGCTGAGAGCTGCAGTCCTCAGTGATCCAGACATCTTCGTTTTTTACACTGTCGCTTCTGGCCTCTACAAGGTTATCATTTACGTTTCCCTTTGTTGTTGCCTCATCTGTACTCATCAAATCATCGGTCATAAAATCCAAACTTTCAGCAACATCCCTGTCTTGGCCTCGCATAGCAAGCAAAACTTCTGCAAGGTTTTTTTCATAAGCATCCATTACAGAGTCCTGGTTTTCCCCCAGTAGGACTGTATCTGACAAAGTCTGTGATTCAGTTACACTTTTGGGGAGGATGATGGTATCCTCTTGGCTATGGCTAACACTTGAACCAGCTCTCAGGGTGCTGGACTGCGTGTCTTTGCAATCTGCAGGTAAGGTGTCTCCTCCTGTGCTACTCCCTAAATATGATGGCGTATAATGAGTCACATGTGGTGAACTGTAATAGTCTTTAGTGCTCTGAGACCTCGGCGTCTGGTGGCGTGTTCGAACTGGTGAAGGCAGGGTCTCCTCAAACAGAGATGATGTGAGAAGGAGGCTCTCTGGCGTTTTGCTTGTTCTCTGTGAGCAACGACTCAACCTGGAGCGAGTCCTGCCAGTTACGAAAGGACTTGGCGTGAACAGGAGATCAGCTACTTCCTCTAAAACCTGAACTGCATCATCAGATCTGGCATCTGTCGTTAGCTCTGTAGCCGCCTCGTCAACACCACCTTCACCTGAAGTACCCACAACAGGACCATTACATGCAAACGCATAATTGTTTGGGGATTTTATCTCACACATGGACAGTTTATCAAGGATTTTCTGTAAATGCTCTGTAGTTTCAGGTTCGGAATCTATGTGGGGTTTAACAGGAGTGAGATTCCCAGCTCGCCACATACATCCAGAATCACAGTCTGTAGAAATCTCAGGTTTTTTGGCAGATTCATGCCCGACAGACGCCCCCTCCTCTGCAGGGTTTAAAACATGTCTGGGTTGTACAGACGCATCCAGAGCACTGGTGTAATGGTCACTCTCACAGCTACTGTAATCACTACTAGCTGTGCCGCTGCTGCTCCCACAGGGCCGTGCTGGCTGTTCAGCTACATTAACTTGAGCCACTTTTACTGTTTCCCTCTCCTCTTCATCATCACTCCCTTCCAAAGCACAACGACTGATGACTGTTTTCTCCATGTCCTCTTCTGTGCTCGTGCTGCTCTCCCTGCAGAAAACATAGACATGATCCGGTGATGTGACGTCAATACCCTGCTTGTGTAAAACAGTGGCCATACGTTCTGAATCCAGGAAGTCAGAGTACTCAGAAAGGTCAAAGGTTAAGTTGCTGGTGCACTGGTTGCCATCGACAGGGTGCTGCTGTTTGGGAGATTCGGGACTAAAAACAGGGAAAAATTCATCGACATCCCTGAAGCTCACGCTCTTGCGACTTGTACCCCTAGAGGGCAGTGCTGGGAGAGTGTTTCTTCTAGAGGGAGAGATTCTGCCCTCAGCATGGGCATTTGCTTTTGACTTGAACACATCATCATTTGTAAATAACTCATTCTCCATAAGGATCGGCAGTCCCACTGCAGACATGCGAGTGCTTGATAGTATGGAGGGACCTTCAGCTGCGCAGTGTGCAAAGGAACTGTTCCAGTCCTGGTTGTGATGTCTCATTGAGTCCACATTAGAAAGTCTGTTATGTGATACTCCTCTGCAACTTGGCCTCCCGTTCATGTTAGCAAGGTTAAAAAATGATGAGCGCCTTGTGCTGCTTAATGGGGCTTCACCAAAGTCACTTATCATAGACGAGTGGGAACTGAAGCTGTAGTCTGAGGCAGGATAGCTGGACGTGTCTGTTTGGTCTGAATACACAGCTGTGGAGAAAAGTGGAGTTCTAAATTAACAGTTTCAACCAAAGATAAAAAATTCAAACATCGTGTCAGATAATCTGCCTTGTGTTTGCTTCATTTGACTGGAAAAATAGTGAATGTTACAGGTAAACGTTGAAGTAAGTTACAGCAGGTACTGTTGGCATTTATTGCTTAAGTATTTTCTGTTTTTGTTCCCAGTGTTAACTAAGACATACAATATACAAAATCCAAAATCAGGACCTGCATGACATTGTTAGTATACAATTCAAAACATGTTTTATTATAATGATATGACAATCTGCTGACAACCACGTAGAATAATAAACTTAAACTAGGTAAGTTACCATAATATATGTCAGTACCATTTGTAACACTGCTGGTGAAGTATGGCTTTCTATCAATGTAGTTATGGAAGTATTACAAGTTAGATGAACAATTTTCGCACTTAAATTGTATTTTTAATGATAAACAACAAATATTGTAATCACCAACAGAGCAAAGCTTTCTTACAGTACTGAAATTGAGGAAAGTCGTCCTCCTCTGTTTCTACTGAGCTGGCCTGGTATTCCTGGAGGAGAAGGCCACATTTTCGATTCTCCTGTTGCACTGCAAGCTGCCCTGGTGTATTCCCTTTCTGCACGAATAAAGAAGACAACAGACATGAACCAAACAGAATCAGACATAAGGAGTATTTGTATTTATCTATAAATACAAATACTATAAATCTCCATTTATAAACAGTAATTTTAGATAATTCTAGGTGATCCCTTTATCTTAATTTCCCATGTCCTGTGTCCTGTAAAGTGGCCCATACACTTTCCTTAAGTATATTCTTACATTGTCTGTGATGTTTGGGTCTCCTCCATTCATCAAGAGCATCTTCAGATTTTGATAACATCCCCACAGTGCAGCAATGTGAAGAGGAGTCAGGCCCTCGGACGACCTGGGAGAAATTCAAATAAAGACGCAAAACATTAGAGATAGTTTATTGGGGGAAATTCTTTTTACACTCATTTTTGATACATGCAGTTTTTAACCCACCACCCTACACACACACACACACACACACACACACACACACACACAAAGGGCTCATAGACATGCAATATATATGGAGAGAAATGGTGATGGGCAGCCCCGGAGAAGCACCCTGCGAGCAATTGGGGTTTTTGGTGCCTTGCTCAAGGGCACCTCAGCAGTGCCCAGGAGGTGAACTGGCACCTCTCCAGCTACCAGTCCACCTTCCATACTTTTTAGTCCATACTGGACTTGAACCGGCCACCCTCCGGTTCCCAAGCCACATCTGAGCTACTGCTCAAGCAGTATGCTCAAGAATGAACAGTGGCTCATGTCTCTATTTTAACATTTTCTTATCATTGATGGTGTAAAACTTGTCTGGAGGATTGCTCAAAAATCTCTCAACTTCATTGACACTTACAGATGATGCGCTTGTCCATTAATGGTTATGAGTTGTGTGGTTATATAGGTGAAGAATGTGATATGAAAGGGAACCATACCTAATATTGGGGTCCGCTCCATATTGCAGCATCATTTTCAAGCAACGCGTGTTCTTCTCCGTCTCTTTGCCAACAGCCAAGTGTATCGCAGTGACCCCTTCACAACCCAACAGGTCGGGACGAGCGCCTTGTGAAAGAAGCAGCTGCACAGATCTGCCCAGGAAAAGAGATCTGTTACAATCTGAGGTATACTACATAGTGGAATACATTAACTGAGTGTTGCTTTATTGCAAACAAGTGTATGATGACATTTAATCAAATGTTACTGGTAGAGATGTTGCGATACTTATGGCAGCATCGGTAATGGTTGACTCTTATTCCGCCACAGATAAAAGGTCAGGCAAGAAGTATACTAATTTCACTCAGATAAAACTGCAATTTTCTCTTCCTAGAAAGCATTATTTTTTGCCATTCCACAAGATCTTCTGGCCCCTTCTGTTTGTAGAGTAATGAAGAAGCAGCGATTTCCATTAGTGTAGAGTTAAAATGAAAACCATATGGCCACATTTCAAACTATATAAAGGAAATAATTGTTGTATATTCCTGGATTCAGTTATAAAGTTCTATGCCATTCATTATCTGTATACATCTATTTTCCAAAGGGTTTAACCTGAGAAGGGCTACACAACAATCACAGCTCTTAGAATAAGTTATTGTTCTTTTAAATGCACTGGTAATTGATTAGTATCTGGTTCAGATTGATACACAAAGTTCAAGTATGGAAAAGTGAAAAAGGATATCAAAACATCTCTGCTTACTGGAAAGTAGAGCAGAACTCATGTCTACAATACTTCTTAAGTGAGACTGGGTCAGGGTCTTCTAGTCTAATCCTTTTAGAAAAAACTGTTTCTGTGTGGTTTTTACCAACGATGTCTAGATTTGAATCCTTTATCCACTAAGTGCTTGACTTTTATTATCCAGTGTAACATCTCTAAACAACAGTAATACTGTTCTGGTCTGGACACAAGACATGTCTGGACATAACAAAGAGAGAGGAGGGGGTCAGATGATCACCTGGGTTCTCCATCGTTCACAGCTTTACACAGCTGATCCTCCAGACTCCTCTTCCTTCGATCCATGATCATCTAGGTCCGTTTACCATCTCTGACCGCGAACCTTCATCTTCAGCCCGCGGCCTGAACCCGTGCAGCCGAGCCGTGGCAGGCTTTCAATGGAGGCTAACGTTAGCTAGCGGGGCTAAGAGCGACAAACATCCTGTGAACGCCATTGACTCATTAAGGGTCGCGAGGCACTAGTGTTTTATACGATGAACCAAGAGTGGACCATCAAATCATTGTTTCCGCATCCTGAGTACTCGGAGGGAAGTTGTTTTCGAGCCGTGAGAAAAGTTCAGCGGATGTTTATTCTCGTGTTTTGCTGTGATCGAGTCTTTGAGTCAAACTTCCCTCCAAACAAACAAACATCCCCTCTCAAGCCGGAAGTCCCGCCTACTGACGCCTCCCATTGGACAATCGTTTTACGTGTCACCAATCAGGTTACGAGGAAGGGAGGCGCGGTTTTAATTGGTGCTCACCCGCGTCCGTTTGTGTATGACCGGTTCTGATACTGTTTGTATATTCTATATACTTTTATTTTGAGTGTAACTTCATTCTATTCACTCTTGTATAAACTGATTTTCTTTCTTTTGTTTGTTTGTCTTTGTAACTTTGTTAGGAAAAGTGTTTATTGTTATTAATATTGTATAATATTTTAGATATCATTGCCTAGTCTACCTGAAACTGTACTTATATACCCTTTTACATACCTCAGTAAAGTCAGGCTATGATACCTAATGTAACAATAATAATGATGTAAAGAAGAAGAACTTTATTTATAGATCACGTTTCTTCACAAAGTTACAAAGTGCGTCAGCATTTAAGGATTTAAACTTTGTCTGAAAACTATTCGGGGAGTGGATGAAATGTTTAATACAGTATGCAGCAAATGAACACATACCATATTTAAGTTAGTTTAAATTGTAGTTTTACTTTAAGGAAAACATTGCCCCACAATAACTTAAGCATTTTGGGCAAGTTACCTCTGTACTTATAGTCTGTTGATACTCAGTCCCAGTATCTCAATACTCAAAGAAAATTCTCCTGACTGCCTGAACAGAACTGGGTAAATTTAGTTTTTTCTTCCATGGGTCACATGGTTGGAATTACATTTTAAACTTTACTCTCTCTGTTTAAAAAAGTTTCATAGATAACGTCATTGCTGTTAAAGTGTGCCATTATCTTCCATCATTCATTTTTGCAGCTGATTCCCACATGTTGCTCTATCTGTTCTGTGCTGTATAGTCTAATCACTGTGATTTAGTACATCTTTGTTTCCTTGCTTGTATTTTTATATGACACTTAACTTTATTTCATCTGCTACTCATTTTGACCAGGACACCATGGCAGAGGAGATGATGTATCTCATGGGACCTTCAATAAGGGGTAGATCTAAAAAAGTGTATTATGGATGACAAGCCAAATAGTAAGGGATTGTGACAGATAATAAAATGTAACTCATTGTACCCTTTGTACGATAAGCATTTCGGCTATCTTTAAGGAACAGAGTTACCTGAATTGAGACAAAACAACGATTCTTTCAAGTAGAAGGTTTGTGGTGTAGGTTATGTAGTTATGAAGGTAATGAAAATGTAGATTGGAGTGAGTTAGTACACTATAGAATTGTGGAGGAAGTAGAAGATAATGACTTATTTGTTAATGGCACATGATATTTGCTTTTTTTACAGCAGGTAGATTGTTTTATTCTTGGTTCTTATGTACACAACAGTGCAAAGGACTTCAAATCAACTTAAAACATGAGAAGAATCTATAACCAGCATAATAAGGAACTATCTTCTTTATTCAAACATACTTTAATGTTAAAATGTATTATATTTTCATATAAATAAATGGAGTGTTACATGACTGTTACTCTTTGCAGTAATAACACATTTTAACAAGGTCACAAGAATAAGCAGAACCCCCCCCCCAGTCAGTTCTTCACAAAAAGTACAATGTGAAGATTTTCTCTTTTTTCAACAAAAATGTCTGATTGCATGGTTATTACAACTTCTGCACAGTTTCTCCAGAGGCCGTCATCTCAGGCTCAGACTGAGTAGAGCGAGATGAGGAGAAGGCCCAACAGGAGGAGCAGCAGGCTCGGGCCCATGGCTCCGGCGTGGTTGGGTGGTCTGGAGTTGTCGTAGGGCTCCAAACGGGCAGAGAATGCCATGACATGGGCGATGTAGCTCTGCTCCTGGACACCGTGGAAGAGGTGCGACATGGGACCTTTGGCAAAGATGGCTACATCCTCTATGCCATGGGTCTCTGACTTCAGAGGGACAGGAGCCTGCTGACGGTAATCTTTACCCGCTGAAGTGTAGTGGGACAAAGGAGAACTAGATTAGACATATCAGACTATTCTAGCTCATAAACAAAATGCAAACCTACAGTGATAACAACCTGTAAATTAGTATTCAGTGTTTTGTTTTTTTGTGTGTGCAAAAAATATATAAAATTAGAGATATAAAAAATATAAAGATAAAATAAAGATAAACATAGACAATATCATATGTACCCTCAGTGGATCATACTAATACTTTTAAACACTTATCTTATATTAGAATATTAGATATTAGATATATAACTCTCTTTTTGTTGGTATCTTTATGTGTGGCTGAAAAATATATCTGTCATCGGATCTTTCAAAAAAATTCTGCATGCACCTTATAAACAATTAAAACAAAGGATGTAGATGCAGGTGTTACATTGTCGTTGTGAGAGCTGGCTGGTGTCCACTGTATTTTTCATTTAATCCTTTTTTTAACAAGTGAGGAGTCACTGTCAGTATGTCTACAGTTGGTTTCCTGTTTAACCACAAGATGGAGCTGCTTTATCACATTGTCTCCTTTGGAAACACAACCAAAGTCCACTCACATGAAATTGACTCATTCATATCCGGGCGAGTTCCGTTTACAATCTGGTATCCTGGTCCGTTCCCGTACACAGCAGTGGTGAAGTGCTTGTTGTCGGTTCCTAATGAGCGAGACACACCTGCAAATCACAGAGCAAAGTTAATATCTAATGGTTTTCTTTAAACTTGGGACAGCAGATGATTTTCTCTTTTTATTACAAAACCTTCCCCAACTTTGCTTTATCAAACAATACAACATTTTTTTTTTTTTTTTACCTAACACAGAGTTTCCTCTGGCAGAAGAGCCTCCGAAGGCAAAGACGTGGGAGTGGTCAGCGGTGACCACAGACAGGGTGTCCTGTTCACTGGTGAGTTCAGCTGCTCGCCCAATCGCCCGGTCCAGCTCCACGGCCTCGTGCAGAGCTCTTATGGCCCTCCCATCATGGTGCCCATGGTCAATTCTCCCACTTAAGGTCAAAAAGAGTCATTGACAAATTAACATATTGTATACCAATCTGTGATTTGGACAAAGCAACATTTACCTGTGATTTTTTTACAACTAGTTTATGATGTGAAAGTGATGAGGCAATTGAACATTCGACAGTTAGACAGTTCAACACCAACTTGACATTTTATGATTTTTTTCATGTCTGGCAAAGATAAACAGGAAACAGTTACACTTATCTTCCACAAAGAGGAAAAAACCCTTGGGGTTCTTGCTGAGAATCTTTATTGCTTTCTCCACCATCTCAGTGAGCGATGGGTCCATAGTGGGATCCCGCTCCAACTCATAGCGACAGTCTTTGGGCTCAAATAGACCTAAATGCAGAGAGAAAGAGTAAGGCCTAGCTTTTAAGATGTAACTCATGGCTGCTTTTTTTTAATATTTCAGCTTTTCTGTAAAGAACTAAAGCATCCAAACATTCTTATAGTAGATTCACCGTAAATGCCCAAGTGTAGCTCTGGTTTGTAGCACAGACATTCAAGAATTTTACTTGGACTTTATTGGAGCCAAACAATTGTGTAAACTATGACCTCTCAACAGAAACAGTTACAAAAACTCATAATCATGAAATGAAAGTCTGAAAAAGTACAACAGTGTCCTTTCATATGAGCTGTAGGATAAACTGTGAATGTATTATATACTGAAAATGAGTGACACTGTGACAAATCTGGTGAATCAAACCATTCCACTTACCCATCAGGAAGTCTATTTCGGCAGGATTGACAGCATCAAACTGAGCTTTGTTCCAAACATATTTAGCTCTCTGTAAAAAGCATTAAATAAACTTGGTCATAACTCAACCAAAGAGAAAATTATATTAATTTACAATAGTAAATTCTGCCATTTACCATTTTTTTCTTAAGCCACTCAGAAACAAGATTTTGTCCGTCACGTCGGTCCCCTCTATAATCTGGATACTCTGGGTCTTTCACATTATTAGGAAACATGTACTGACGTCCTCCACCAAGAATGACCTGGATGGTGACACATGATGACAATTTACATTTATTTCTAACTTCATTTATGTTATTTGTTTTTGATTCTGATCTCTGGTTCTGATTCTTTAATCCAGACTGATGTCTGCTCCCTTAGTTTACTGCGGATGTGAGTGACATCTTTTATCTTATCACATAAAGATTGAGGGATTTATCAGCATAGCAATCGTTTGGGATGTTAGAAATTCAGTATCACTAGTTAATAATCAAGTACAATAGTCTTTGTTAATGATCATATTGTTCCTTAATAATGGCTGCTGAGTAATTTTTAGAATAAATTTACATGTTTGAGGAAATTCTCTATAAACCAGGTTTATGGAAAATAAAAAAGCAGCAAAGATTCAATTTGTTTAAAGATATTTACGATTTCTGCTAGTTTTAGTTTCATTGCACAAGCCCTCTGCTGTTTCACTACAGCAACATCGTGATACTAAGGCTTACATCTATTTCTACGTTCTTGATCAGCTGATATGCAATGTCACGACATCCATTCTGGACTGCCTCAGAGGTGAGGTCGGAGTCAGAATACCACCCTCTATCAGGAGTGTGAGCATAGTTTGCACCAGGAGAGGCGTGCTGCACTCGAGTTGTTGTGACAATGCCCACAGATTTTCCTAAAAAACAAAAAAACAAAAAAACAGAATGAATGTATATGAATGACATATTTGGAAATAAAGCCAGTTATTAACTGTCCTGTAAATCATACTGTTTCAGAGTATATCTGATACAGCTCTTATATTACAATTAAATAAAAAGGTGACGGCAGCATAACATGCCCAAACCAGTAAGAACACAGCAATACTGTTCTGTCTGTGCACATTTCCTTTATGAAGTCCAGGTATAATGCAAAGTTGTAGAACTACAGTCTACACCCACCTGCTTTCTTGGCACGGTACAGAACTGATTTGACTTCATTCCCATAGCTTGCACTACAGTTGGACCTCGGAGTGGCGGCAGTGACACCCAGGGTGCCGTAGTTAGCCTTCACCCCGCATAAGTAAGCTGTGGCTGTGCCAGCGCTGTCTGGCATCTGCTGGTCAACATTGTACGTCTGCAGAGGCCAAATACAAACACACACATGAACGTGAACTGTGTTGGCAGTTTCTGGGTGGAGGTATTTCATACAAACAGTGGAAATGGCCTGTACATTTTGGACGAGGTAAAAGATTTACATCCTTGATTTACTGATGGGCTACTCCACCACCAATAAATACAAAACATACAAATATATTTTCAGCTGTGGCCCAGGAGCTCTGGCACTAATCAGAAAGTTGGTGGTTCAATTCCTAGGTCCAAATGCCAAATGTTTCCTGGGACAAAACGCTGAACCCTAAATTGCCCCTTATGTCTGTCATGGCAGTGTGTGATAGAGACGGTGTTGTGTATCGCAGCTCTGTATGTGTGTGTGTGTGTTTGAGTCGGTAAATCGTATGATTTCATATTTTTTAAAGTACAAAGTTAAATATAATAACATATCCTCATTTTAAAACACATTCCACTGTAGCAGTGAATGTGTGATTCAGAGTGTGCTCACCTTTGACAGCGCCAGGTAAGGAAAGGTATCCATGACCAGGCTGGTCTCCTCCCCTGATTTTCCTGCCAACTGGCCTTTGAGGATCCGAGCGGCCGTCACCGTCGGCACCCCCATACCTGAGAGCAGGTGGAAACACACCTGAGTGTTAGATAACATCCAACCAGGAACGCACAGAGCTGCCATTGTGCTCAAAGCAAACCTCATAAGGCTCAGCTGATGTCAGATGTTAGAGGCCGATGAAAGACATCCAAGTTATTTACACCGACAAGATGGCGGACGATTTGCAAACCAAATACAGGAATATTTCACATTTTTCTCTTCTTCAAACCTGATTATACTTTGCAATTTTCACTCCCTATAGACAGATTCAGATTGGATTCAGTATTTGCGTATTATCTTTGTCCACCTTAAATATGTGTAAGAAACTACACATAAAATGAGAATATAGAAAGTATCAATGGTCATCAAAGTCTGTATTTCAACACAATGTCGTTTGGGCATCAAATCACTGGCAGTGGTCATAGTTTATGGTGTATGGAGTCATTCCTCCATAGAATCATTTTGTAAAAACTTAATCACCAAGAACTTTGTAATTTGTTTTACCATAATCATTCCACGAGAGGTTGTTAAATGTTACTCATCAATCCAAAAACACTGATAAAATCTTACATGAGCTGCTTTCGGCATGTGTGAGGTTGGCTGCTGCAACCATAAATCCACAGTGCCTCTAAGCAACTGTCATTTGTGGAGCGGTGTTACCAAATATTGAGGTACAATCACAGAGGAAAGAGGCAGAAGTTCAAAGCAGTGATCACTTTATCTTTTTTCAAGGGTCTGGGGGTCACGGCCACATGAAGTATCTTATCAGGAATTATCAGCTCATCTTTGTTGATGATAAAATCTTTTATCCAAACTGGAGTGGGTTCATTTTCGCATGTTTACACAGGAAAAATCACACTATCAAGGTACTACCATAGACTGTATATAAAGGGTACTACTCATAATTTGAAGTCTTCCACCAGTTTAAAGATTTCAGCAACAATAGTAGATTAAAAATCCAGTTTCAAGAGCAGTAACAAGACAAGTTTCTGAAGCTTCAGCTGAGTTTGATGAACTTATTTGAATTCTTCCCTGCAGTTGGACCTTTATTTTGTGCTCAGATCAGTTAAGGACACGTGCAGGCATTGTGTGGACTGTGGTTTAGCCTTGGTTCATTTTCTAATGTGTGGCTTGCCAGGCAGCAGTAACTGCTGGTGATCAGATGTCAACCCTCATCTCCTTCTACCCATAACCCCTTGCTTTTTAGGGTCATATAGTGCATTCGGTTTAAAATGTGGTCTCATTCTCTGACGGTGAACTCAGCCACAATGAGGATGAGGCTTGCGCTTTCAAGCTTCATTGGCTTCCTCTCACCTGAACAAACCAATTGGACTAATAGCAAAAAATGTTCCTCAACTCAAAGACGCATGGTAAATTGATGGGTGACTCACCATCCCCCAGGAAGAGGATGATGTTCTTGGCCTGGTGGTTATTCGGCTGAATGTTAATGGCGGTTTGAAGAGCCTCCCACCCTTTGTTGTTCCAGTAGCTGGCATGAAGCTCTTCTTCTGTGAGCAGCAAAAACACATCATATGTTAAGATATCAAACCTTTAAATGACTTATCACCTCTGCCAAAGAGGTTATGTTCTCATTAACTCCTTTGTTTGTTAGTTAGCAGGATTACACAAAAAGAAATGAATCGAAAGATCCAGGAATATTTCTTCCCTTTCCTTAACATGGCGTTAGGACGTTGGCCTTGGTGGAGGTTTGCATTTTTCAAGTGCCCTGATTTAAGTTGTCATGACTACCTATCATTACATGATATATTATTTGTGTGTAAGTGGCTTTGTAATGTAAACTATAATATTTGTCTTCACTTATTGTTTCCAAGCAGATTCAACTCAGTTTAATTTCTGTTTCAATCAATAAAATATAAAAAAAAGGAGACCTAATTGCTCAGCTGTACCAGGTAACTCTTTCATTACTTCAAATGAAAGTTGACATGATAATATATGCCACGTATTACGTTTCTGTCCTAAAATACAGCAGTGTAATTCTAATGTGAAATCTAGAGGCGCTTCTTAGTTTCTGAAAGATGATTAACAGCAGTAATGTGCAACAGAACCTTACCTGAAACACACCAAGTCCATGGCACTGAGATGAAAATCAATAATCCAGTAAAAAGGAGCTTGTGCTTCTGAGCCAGCATGTTGACTTTACATAAAATTGACGAAACAGGACACTGAGTTCAGGAGCACTCTAAGCTCCTTTTATAGTCGTATCCAAGGAGCAAAGGTCAGATGAAGGGAGAAGACACACACACACACACACACACACACACACACTGACACACACACACGTGTTGTGACAGGTCACTTTTGGGGACAGTAGGTGGACCTGCATCCAATTCCTGTAGCATTTCTTAACAATAACCTCAATTTGCTTAATGCTGAACTTTACCTAAACCCAAACCACTGACACACAAATCAGAAAACACAAGATGTCCTCAGTTTGCATTGACAGACACTGAGTGGACAGGAGAAGAGATAAACTGATAAACTGCACTGTCATAAAATATTCTCTACATCAGTCTTTAAATTCTCTTTATAGCATTCACCTATGTAATATGTCAGTAAAAAGGTGTCATGTGATAAGAGTTCCTAAAGTTATAAGTCGCATGATATCATGTTTGGGGATATATGATGAATTGATATGAATTGTCTCCACAATCCCTTTGCTGACAGCGAATGTTTTTCCCAACAAATGTTATCTTTAATTGCTTTTAATGGCTTGATCAGAAATGATACCATCTTTATTTGGAAATTGAATATGTTTCAAGTGCAAGTGAGGCCTGTTAATAATTCATCTTAACTTTGATTCAATGAAGCAATTATCTTTTTGCCAACACAGCTGGAATACTATCAGTTGAATGTTAACCGACAGCAGCTTCTATCACTATTGTGTGAAGGCGACTATAAATCATATAATATGATTTAATGATGATGACGATAACAGTGTTTTATAGAAGTGCTCATGTGACTTTACAGTCATACACATCTCATAGAGCTCCTATTTGAACTGGCCAGGGTTTAGCTAATGTCTGAGCAGTTTTACTACTGAACACTTGTTTGAATTTGTGGCAGCATTAATTGATAACACATGTATCTGTGTGTGTGTACAGGTGGGTCTGGCTCCACATCTGTCTGGTGTTTTCAATAGTGTGGTAACTGCACGGCCTTGTGGTTCAGACAGACCAACACAAGGTCACAACTTTTTTTTTATTCATCCTTTTTTTCTCAGTATCAGCATTTTTTAATAGCAAATATCTTTATGAAAAGAGAAAGGCCCCAGACGGACTCAGTGGAGAGTGATTTGGACAAAATAAGCTTCATACAGGACAAAATTAAACATATGTCATTAGAAATCAGACTGTGTTGCAAGTATGTGCAGGTTTCCAGGTCAATTCTGAGGAATTTTGTGAGAATGTTTTCTTGAATGTTTGATATAGTGCTGATCCATTAAATGCTACATGGATTCTTTTGCATCCAATTTTTCAGGTCAGTCTCAGCTGTCACTCATGACATTCCATCCTGTTTTCAGTAAATATAAACCAAATTTATGGGAAAATTTAACACCAAAAATCAGTGCAGTGAGAACAGGTTTGCTAGCACAAGGGAGGCGGTGTTATTGCCTACACTCCAGCCAGCCACTAGGGGGCGATACAGATGATTTGGCTTCACTTTTGGGGCGCTTACTTTCAATCCGACTTCAAAATTACCTGAGAAAAGCCTTTTGTGTTTTTTTCTTTATTTGGAAACTAGTTAGACAGGTGTTATTAAATGAACTGGATGAAATACTCATCAATAAAAAATGTTTTTTATTCATATATATAACTAACATTTGCAAAAAGAAACAGTATAAAAATACATTGACAAGATTTGCATACAAAATACATTCATGTACAATCCAAATAGATTATATCCTGTATCAAGAGGCAGACAATCTGAACAAAACCAGATTTACTATTTGGAGCCAATGAGGTCAAGATACAAACTTAAAAAAATCTTCTCTTCTACATGTCTTCCCCGCCTAAGAGCGGTACAGTATCCTGATGAGTTCTTGTAAGGTCTGTTGGTGTTGCAGCTTGGCTTGGCATGGGATGATGGATCTCATAACTGCTGAGTGTGTACTAACTGTCCACAAGCTGGACAGTGAGCCCTCAGTCTGCTTGTTTGTTTCAAGTTATTCTGAGTGAAGCCTCAGATTCATGTGGAAATAGAAAATTTTAGCTACTTGCAAGTGTTGGACAGTTCTGAGCAGGCAGATCATGCTGAAAAATAGGAATGGGATAGAACAAGAACAAGTGAAAGTACGAGCAAGTGAAAGGTAGTAGTCATGTTGCAATTCTGAAAGTAGAATACTGGAAATGCTGATGGAGTGTTTCTTGAAGAAATGCTTGCATAAGCATCAACATTAATACTAGCACATTGTGATTATTTTCATAATCTTTGCATGTTAATCTCACCTACAATGTCTACCTGTTTGTATGCACTTGGAAAGAGATGCTACATGCATGTTTAAGCTTGCAGTTCGCTTGTATGGTAGAGTACACATGTATTTGGATGCGTAGGAATAGGCCTATATATTTTTCAGTATCACATACAGTGCTATACCGTAAATATTTACTCCTGCCAGCCTGTGTGTCTACAGCAAATGTGTGTGTGAATGTTAAGTGCATTGTGTATTGCTGCATACCTACAACATGTTTAACAGTTGGCTTTGACGTGTGTGTTTCAGGGTCATCTGAAAAACCAGATGAGGCCAAGTAAGCCAAACAGGAAGCTCGAGGGTGTGTTCACACAGCCGGTTGAGGTGTGGTTGTGTGGGTGAGGAGGACAGTTCGTGTAGGGCTCCAAACAGGCGGCATAGGCCATGACGTGTGCCACGTAGTTTTGCTCTTTCACCCCGTGGAACAGGTGAGCCATTGGGCCTTTGGCATAGATCGCTACATCCTCTCCGCCGTGCGTCTCTGCGTCCAGCGGTACAGCGGCCTGCTGCATGTACTCTTCATCGTCTGGAAGGAAACAAGTGTAGACTCTCAACTCTCTGCTTGGATCATCAACTGTACATACAAAACGACTGCTTAAATATGTTAACCATAATATCATATATGTTAATGTGACTGAAACCCAGTGCACAAGTTACGGAAGTATTAATCATATATTTGTTTTTATATATATGAACCAACAAAAAAATGCAAAAACTACCAAAACAAATTTCCACCATGTATGGGTGAAGGAAGAACCCATTCAATCCTGATGCAGATGCAGGAATTTCTTTTCACTTTCTTTAACATTGCGTTTTTCAACATTTTCGCAATTTTTCCAGGGAATAATTAATGGATCTAGATGGAGAAAATCTGGCACATTTAGGGAACTAATATCTATGAGTCTGTGAAATTTGAGTGGAGCTTGATCGTATTTAAGGGGACTGTTGTGCCTTGGCAGAGGTATGAGCTCCACTGAGTGCCATTCTACTTCCAAAAGAATACATAAAGTTTTAAAGGTGAGTGTATCTCACTTATGCACATTTACTTAAAGGGCCAAATAGGATGAGTGTGCACTTTTAGACACAACTAATGGTTCCAAAAACATAAAGTGAGGCGAGGCCAGTCCAATCAAAAGTACCAAAGTCTGGACTTTGAGGTCAGGGTGTGTGTGTGTGTGTGTGTGTGTGTGTGTGTGTGTGTGTGTGTGTGTGTATACAGATATATTTCCTCTACACTGCCTCACTGCAATGACTGAAGCAAACCGTGCAGAACAAGAGAAGGAGGAACCAGATCGTTGCTGTCCAGTGTTCCACAAAGAAACACAAATAACCTCTAAAAGTAACATGTTCACAATGAGGCCTGTGTGTGGAGGAGAAGACAACACGGTGCCATAAACATCATATTTCATCTTTGGTTTCCAAAGAAAAACGCAGGCATGAGTCAGCCTTAACCACATCGGTTCATGCTGTCTGTGCACACGTCGGCAGAGATGAATGCTGCATCTGAAAGACATTAGTTTGATTGCTTACAGTAATCCACCATTGAGATGTTTCCTCTGGTTCCATTTACATGGACATAACCGGGGCCGTTGGCATACAGGATGCTGGTGAAAGGCATTTTGTCGTCTGCTTTCTTTGGTGCCAGACCTGAACAGCAAAAATGACAGGACAGGTGAGTAATGACAGTTGTAATGATCACAAAACGGACATTTTTAAGAAACATGCAACTTAAATAATCATGAATATTACAGTATTAAAGTATCATCTGCATATATGAGTATCTCAAAGTTTGTCATTCTGGGCTGTTTAAACTTTAAAATGTCTAAAAGCTTCATGATTCTGAGCTGGATTTTTTATGCGTATGCTTCATGCTATTTTCATGAATCCTAAACAACATGCTAGGTTTACCAAAGATGGGATTTCCTCGAGGTGTGTTGCCACCGAAGGTGAAGACGTGGGAGTGGTCGGCGGTAACCACAGTCAGTGTATCAGATTCTCTGGTCAGCTGTGCAGCACGTTGAATGGCTTGGTCAAACATCACTGCCTCTGTCAGGGCCAGCTTTGCAATGCCGTCATGATGACCATGATCAATTCTCCCTCGTTCATATGACACAATGTAAAGCAAGTGAATTAGACCTGGCCACAAACACTTGATCTTTACAAAACTTCACTTGACTAATTTTAACAGTAGCCAAATGGTGTATACGTCTGATAATGATTAATTAATGTGATGACCGCTCTTTATGCTTTATATTGGAGCCATAAAACTAAAGTCAAGTTTCAAAAGGTATAAATCTTTATTTTGAGGCCATGATTATTACTGATGCTGATAATGTCATGCTTGATGAGTTGTTAATGAGTTGTAGGAATGCTAATGAATATACATATGCAGTGTTACTCATCTTCCACAAACAGGAAGTATCCTTTGGGATTCTTGCTGAGGATTTGTATGGCCTTCTCCGTCATCTCCACAATGGAAGGGTCTCGTGTGCTGTTCCGGAAAACCTCAAACCTCATGTCCTTTGGCTCAAACAGACCTGGACCCATGGAGAAGGAAAAAACAGGTTTGATCTGGTGGTTGCATTAAGAAGAAAAACAAATCAGCAAACAGGAATGTTGATGGGCAGAGATAAACTACAGATTGAGCAATAACACAATACTTAAAGCCAAGTGCAAGA